CTGCCACTGGGCTCAGAGAGAAGTTGGTCCTTTGCGGGTGGATGGGACTCTCTGTGATTTTCCAATTCTTCTCATCCCAGGCCGATTCCGAGCAGCTGTGCCCAGTGGAGCTTCTACAGGTATCTATGAAGCTCTGGAACTAAGAGATGGAGACAAATCTCGATACCTGGGCAAAGGTGAGGAAAGACCAACACTGGAAGAGCCTGTGAGGGGTGGTTTCAGGATATGAATCCACAATGTCTTCTTGGTGGTGGTGGTGGGCCGGGGGGGGGACTGGAACTCAAAACTCTTGAAGACCTGGGGTCCACAGGAAGAGACCTGATTGAATTGGAGATCTGAACCCCCTCCTCTGGCCTCTCTAGGTGTCCTGAAGGCTGTGGAACACATCAACAAGACTCTGGGTCCTGCTCTGCTGGAAAAGGCAAGTTGGAAGAGCCTGTCCCTCCTACCCCACCTCACCCCACCACTCCTGCCACCTCATCCCAAGTAGCCCATGCTTGGGGGAGGCTAACCATCTGTCTCTCCAAAATACCTGCACTTTTTTCTCTTGCACATGCCCTGACTCTTGAGAAATCTAACTTCTGCTCTTCCCTCCTCAAACTTGCCCTTTCAGAAACTAAGTGTTGTGGATCAAGAAAAAGTTGACAAATTTATGATTGAGCTGGATGGGACTGAGAATAAATGTGAGTGAAGGGCTAGGGATAGGTGAAGGTATGGGATGCTGGGTGGATGGGGGAGAGACCATGGGGCTGAGGTCTGGTTAGGATTATTTCTGTGTCCCATATTTTGGGGCACACAGTAGCTGGATGGACTTTATTCTTTCCATAGGCATTTCCTAATGCCTGCTCTCTGCCAGGCCTGGGCCAGCTGTGGACACAGATGTGAAGCTGACACATTCCCCTGGGGTGGGGGTACCCTGAGCACCTAAGGCCCCAGGGGAGAGAGATCTGTTAAACTCTTAAGGGCCAGTGGTTTAGAGTTCTGGATCCTTCCTGTGGTGTCTAGAGTGGACTTTTTTTTTTTAGAGAGAGAGAGAGAATGACACTGATTTGTTGTTCCACTTATTTATGCATTCATTGGTTGATTCTTGTATGTGCCTGGGATTGAACCTGCAACTTTGGCATATTGGGACTATGCTCTAACCAACTGACCTGTCTGGTCAGGGCCAGAGGGGATGTTTGAGGAGATGACCCCAAACTCTGGGGGAGAAGTTCTTACCCTTTCTTCGTGCTTGCTTCCTCTAGCCAAGTTTGGGGCCAATGCCATCCTGGGAGTGTCCCTGGCCGTGTGCAAGGCTGGAGCAGCTGAGAAGGGGGTCCCACTCTACCGACACATTGCAGATCTTGCTGGGAACCCAGACCTGGTCCTCCCAGTCCCTGTGAGTACAGATGCCCCGTCAGATCCCACAGTGACAGAATTGCCCCATCCAGCGAGAAGTATCTAACCAGTCCCTGGAAAGTTCACCTGCCATACCCAGCTCCAAAGATAGGATTTCCTGAAATGGAACCTCTCCTGCTACAGTTTTGCCCTTCCTTCTTTCCCACAATCCAAACCTTCCCGTAAGCCTCTCTGCTGTTTCCCCTTGATGTAACTCAGTTCATTCCCATTCCAATCCTAGGCTCAATAACTCCAGCTTCTTTTTCGGCCTTCTACCCCAACCCCCAAATCAGTAGAGAGGTTGTTTATGGAAAGGATCTTGGCATTTCTGTATATCTTCTTTAATCCTTATAAAACCAAATTCCCTCTTATGGAAACGCTTTGCATTTAATGTCAATAATAATGTTATAGACAAAGACTGAACCTATGAACAGCTTAATACAATGAAAGTCTCAAAAAGTATTTTACAATTTATTGTTACTTACTAGGCAGATTGTAGAAGAGCATAAGCTCTGGAGATAAGCTGCTGGGTTTGAATCCTAGCCTTGCCTGGAAATCCTGTGATCTTAGGCAAGTTATTTAACTACTCTGTGCCTCAGTTTCCTCACCTGTAGAATGAGGGGTAGTTATAGCACCCAGTTCATAGAGCTGTTTTGAAAATGAAATGAGCTAATAGAATGTGTGTAAAGCACTTAGAGCAGTGCCTGGCCTGGCCTGTAGTACATGCCATATCAGTGTTAACTATTGTGTAGCAGGCACATGCTAAGAACTCTACATTCAATTTCTCTAATTTTCAGGATGAGATTCTGCAGGGAAGCAAGTGGTATTCCCATTAGAGAAATGAGGAAAGAGGCTCTGAGGAGTAAAATTACTCTTCCTAGATAACTCAGCTAGTAAGTAGGGAAGCCAAGATTCCACCTCGACCCCTCCTCCCCAACTCTGCCTGATCCCTCACACCCTGGCCCAGGTCTGAACACCCACTCCTCCTCTCAGGCCTTCAATGTGATCAACGGGGGCTCCCATGCTGGAAACAAGCTGGCCATGCAGGAGTTCATGATTCTGCCGGTGGGAGCCAGCTCCTTCAAGGAAGCCATGCGCATTGGCGCCGAGGTCTACCACCACCTCAAGGGGGTCATCAAGGCCAAGTATGGGAAGGACGCCACCAATGTGGGTGATGAGGGCGGCTTTGCACCTAACATCCTGGAGAACAATGAGGGTCAGTGTGAGCAGTCTGAGGGGCAGAACCCCTGGGTCCTCACAGAGGAAGGGGCTGTGGAGATAGGGTACACCAGAGCCTCAGGTCTTCTCTTGTCCTTCTTCTAGCCCTGGAGCTGCTGAAGACAGCCATCCAGGCAGCCGGCTACCCAGACAAGGTGGTGATTGGTATGGATGTGGCGGCATCTGAGTTCTATCGAAATGGGAAGTATGATCTTGACTTCAAGTCACCCGATGACCCCTCACGGCACATCACTGGGGAGAAGCTGGGCGAGTTGTACAAGAGCTTCATAAAGAACTATCCTGGTAAGAGCCCCCCAGGTGTCCCAGTACACTTGCCTGAATACCTGGCAACTACCCAACACACTGACTTCAGGGCCTCCACTGCCACAAACTCCATCTTTCCAATCTTTAGCACCTTTGCATTCTCCATCCTAACTCTTCTGACTTGTCACCCCTTCATGAGGTCCTCAGACCCTTAACCTGACTGCCCCATCCCTCACCAGTGGTCTCCATCGAAGACCCCTTTGACCAAGATGATTGGGCCACTTGGACCTCATTCCTCTCGGGTGTGGACATCCAGATTGTGGGAGATGACCTCACAGTCACCAACCCTAAGAGGATTGCCCAGGCCGTTGAGAAGAAAGCCTGCAACTGCTTGCTGCTGAAGGTCAACCAGATTGGCTCCGTGACCGAATCCATCCAGGCGTGAGTGCCTCCTCGTCCTGGGGTGCACCACAGCCTTCCTCCACCCAAGCTCTGCCTCCCCGCACTGCAGCCCTGCTCTCAGACTCCAAGCGTGCCTGTCTCCTGGTTCTTGACCCATCCTACTCTCCTGACCTCAAGCCTTCAACTAACTCTTGGCTTGACTTCAAGAGCTTTGCCACTGTGACCTGCCATCCCCATTCCCACCTCATATCATTCTTTTCTCCCAGATTCTGCCCTTCTTTCCACCAGCATCTGAGGAACCCAAGTTCAAGATCAGGAATCTCCCCTTCTGCTTTTCAAGAACTTAGTCATCACCCTCCCACCAAGGGCCCATTCCCCACAACAGAAAAGCCCCATCCAGCCCCTGGCTTTCTGAAGAGGTTCCGTTAGGCCTTATCAAGTGTCCTCTCTATCTAGCTGCAAACTGGCTCAGTCTAACGGCTGGGGAGTGATGGTGAGCCACCGCTCTGGGGAGACTGAGGACACATTCATTGCCGACCTCGTGGTGGGGCTCTGCACGGGACAGGTACTCATGGCTCCCCTCTTGTGTCAGAACAAGTTTTCTTGGGATCCCTGGCCTCCTGCCCCTGAGTAGAATGACACCACAGGCTGCTCCTCAGGACCAGGCCCAATCCCTTCTCCCCAGCCTCATGCAACCCTTGGAATCCCTCTTCCCTCCTCAGATCAAGACTGGTGCCCCCTGCCGCTCAGAGCGTCTGGCCAAATACAACCAGCTCATGAGGTACAGTGGGTGCAGTGTGCCTGGATGTGGGGAGCTGAGGGCTGTTGGGGTAGAAGGGTGCAGCTCTGACTTGCTCTGCCTTCTAGGATTGAGGAGGCACTTGGGGACAAGGCGGTCTTTGCTGGACGCAAGTTCCGTAACCCAAAGGCCAAGTGAGAAGCTGGAGGCCCCAAGACCCCACAGGACAGATGTAGGCCTTCAAGCCCTTCTCCCTGAAATAAACACTGGTGCCAATGGAGTCAGTGGTGTGCGAGCTCCTTTGTGGGACGGAGGAGATGCTGATCTCTGGACTGGGAAAGACAGGAGGTGGGGCAGGAAAGGGAGAATAGATGTACAACCTGCTGGGACAAAGAGGAAGTGAGGGCCTGGTCAAAAAGGAACTTCCAAAGTTCACCTTTTGGAAGGAGGCTGGGGGAAGCAAGTGCCACATGCAAAATGAAACTGGAGGCACTGACAGAACATGGAACCAGAACAGGAGAAGGGGGGATGGAGGGTCTGACATCACCATGAGGGAAAAGCTGGGTCAGACCTGCTAGTAAGTCGAAGTACACAGTCTGCAGAGTGTGCAGCACTGTCGAAGTCAAGTGCTTTGTGAAGATGACAGTGAAAGATTGAAGATCTGGAACTGCTCCTAATATTTCACATATAGTGACCTGTGTAATTTGGGAAAGTCTTATCAGTTATCATCATTATTCCTATTTTATGGGTAAGGAAACTGAGGCACAAGAAAGTCAAATACTCCACACAAAGTAACCAAGTTAGTAACTCACAGAGCCAGGATCCAAAACTAGGCCATTTGGCTTTAGCCACTGTGCTTTGAAAATACTATCACTCATGAAAGTGCCAATATTTGGCTATCTTTGGCCTACACAGACAACAATTTTATACTGCTCAAGCTGACATCGCTTCTCCTCTTCTCCAAGACCCACCTCTTTCTCTGCTCAAACAAACCAGGACATTGGGTCAAACAGTGTTTATTGAATGTAAAGTAACCTCATCCCCATGGGGAAGAAAATTCAAAGGAGAACAGAGAATAATACAGATTAAATACCCACCTGTGCATTCACTCTCTTGCGCACACACATACACACACCACATACATATCCAAGCTCTAACAGTAACAAATCAAACACCTGCTTCCTCCAGCCTAAGTAAGTGATGGCTGTTAGGAGGTGGTTCAGAGGTGGGGCTCCAGAACGGGTTCTAATAGCAGCAGCCTTGTCCCTCTCTGCCCCTTGCCCTGCCCTCAGGGAGCTGGGGTGCCTAGGAGGTAGGTGGCAACTCTTCCCCACTCTGCCGCAGACGCTTCTTGGCTCGGATCTCATTCATGGCCTCTTCAATGGAGCGTGTGTCCCTCTTGTTGGCCACGGGCACTGGGGGCAGAGGGAAGGTGGGGAGGACCTGGGATCCCTGTGCCTTATCCCTCCCTCCCCGGCCCATCTAGTGCTCCTCTCCCCTGTCCTGCACAGCCCCTTCTGTGGCCTCACCACAGCCATAGGTCTTGTTGGCCTTTAGCATATGGGCAGCATCCTTGGCTGCCCCCTTGCCGATGAGATGGCTGTACTTGTCCTTGTAGTCGCTGGTGGGGCTCACCACCACAGGTCCCTGCTGGGCTTCCTCCTCCTCCTGCCGCTGGGCCAGCTCCTAGGGGTGCAAAGGTGGGCACTTGTGCTAAGTGGCCTGACCCCAAACCCTCCCAGGTGGTGGGCTGCAAGGCTCTAGGGACTGCCAGTAATAACTTACTTTCAGCTTCCGTTTCTCCTCAGCCTTCTGGGGGTCCCACTCCTCTCCACGACGATAGGAGTCCAGCTCTTCATCTGAGGGTGCAAACTCCTGGGGAAGAAGGGATGATGGGGCCAAGGTTCCATAAACGTTTCATCTCACTTCTCTCCCCCAGGGGTTACAGGAGAGAGTGGGGGACTCAGGCCTTTCACCTTTTTGAAGATCATAACATAGCGACATTCATCATCTTCCCCAAAGGAGAAGGATGTCAGGCCAGCCACTTCCACCACATCGTGTCTGGGAAAGGAGACAGAGGTGAAAGACTTTGTAGAGCCATAAGGAGGCCTTGAACGCTCCTCTTGTGAATTTCCTTGCTGGGCCTTTCATGCCACCCTAGCCACCCTTTTCCTGCCTCCCCAAGCCCCAGACACTCACAATATGCTCCTCTCTATCTTGTTCATCGGCTGAAACTTTTTCTTGATCTGCCCACTGTCTTGGATGAAATCTGACACCTCTTTCTCCATCTTGGGAGAGGGAAATGGGAAGAAGATATGAGATGATGGCTCTGCCCAATATCCCTTTACCCAGCTGGGCCAACAGGCCTTCGCCTCCCCACACCTATCCCAGCCTCCATGCCATTGCCTTGCCAGCTTCATCTCTCTTGAGACATTTGCAAAACAAAACAACAACAAAAAACACAAAAAAACAACAACAAAACTGAGTTCTAATTCTAACTTATTGGATGTCCTTCCTGAGGCTGCCTTTGATCTCTCCAGTTGTTCTCACCCTTTTACGAAACTCCACTTTCTGCTGTTTCTCTTGCTCCTGTAGTTTCTTCAGGCGGGCAGCCTGCTCTGGGGGTGAGAAATGGCAGCATGAGGCCAGGGGCAGAAGCATGAGTGGGGAGTTTGTAAGGCTTCAAAGGAGGTCTGGTGTCCACTGGTGTCCACAGGCTGGGAAGGTAGGGTTACTATTTATTCACCAAGCATTTATCGATGTTTAAACCTGGAGCTGTGCTAGGCCCTGGAGCACCAAGATCATTAAGACATAGCTTTGCCCTTCGGAGCTCAGTTTAGTGGGAGTAACAAAGATTAGAATCATGCTTAGTCTCATTTCCCAACCTCACTGGGGAAACCAATTAACAAACACTTATTTAATACCCACAATATACAAACTATAAGATACCTACGGAGTGAAGGACTAAGCCCTGGCCTTAAAGAGCTTATCATCTCATTGTCTACATAAAAAAGGGGAAATTATCTAACTTCCTATATTTTGTAAACCCCTGGCCCCCACTACTTCTCACTTCTACAGACAGGATGAAGCTGAAAGGGCTAGTTTGACACCCTTCTCCTTTGTGAGTGTAGGTGTTCAAAGTAAGCTGTAGAGGAACTTCCCACCCTTGCATCTTAATGTCCCCACTCCTCTCTTCTGCCATTTCCAATACTTTATATCCTTAAGGCCCATTTCTTCCACAGGATCTGAATACCTTCAGTTGCACTGACCTCTTCCTATTTTTCTCATCACTCTATGTTTTTGCACATGTTGTTCCTTCTGCTTGAAATGCTTTTCCTCCTTTTGCAAACTTTGAAATCCACCATGAGTCAGAGTTACTCACTTCTTCCTCTGGGGCACACACACATTCAGACATCCATTATTGCATGTGCTGAGAACAAATGTAATTTAATGTTTGTCTCTCCTACCACACTATAAGCTCTTAAAAGGCAGGGACCCTCTTCATCTCCTATCCAGTTATTCTCTGTGGCCCCAGAGCCCAACAGCTTAGGAGCTCTCATCTCTTTGACAGGAAGGGCTCTGACCATTGGTGTATCCCATCGTGTTCACTAAGTGTTTGCTAACTGGTTCATGAATCTTCTCTCTGTATCTGAAGAGGTGGCACAAGAATATAGTTAAGAAGGTAGGCTTTAAAACTCACACCTGGGTTTAAAACTCTGCCACTTAGAAATGACTAAACTCTGAACTTGAGCTTGCTAATCTGTCAACTGCCATTGGTGATTCCCACCTTGACAGTCATGGTGAGCATGAAACAATTACGGTTGCCAGTTCCAATTATGTGCCCTCCTTCTTCAGAGCTTTCAAATACACATCTCTGCCTGCTATACTTTGCTTGCTCCCCGTCTCTTAACTGAATTATCTATTCTTCAGATTTCAGCTCACTGCAGACTAAGTTAAGGACTTATAGGTAGCCACTCTCCTAACAATTATTTTTCCTTCAGAGCACTTAACAAGTTGGTTATTAAACTTCTGCTGTGTGATTATTTCATCAAAGCGCCATTTCATCAATGCTGCAGACTGGGCTCCTGAGAGTACCCCTGGCCTGTAGCAACCGTTCAGTAAATAATGGTATTTTGGTATTAAGTAGCACTTAATGAGAGGCTTTTAAGGTATCCAGCCTGCCCTGGTTCCCCTCAGGCGGGTGCACCCTGGAGCAGGTGTCTGGGATGGGGTCTGTCCATGGTCTTAAGGCCCGCAGGGTTGGGGGCTGGGGTCCTCCCCAAGGCAGTCATTCTGTCAGACGCATTCACCCGTCACAGCAAGAGCAACTCAGGGGAAGCCTGCACCTTCAGGCCAGCCGCGCCCTACCCTAGCAACCCGAACTCCTGAGCGCGCCTGCCTGCAGGAAAATTACTCAGAGAACACAGGCGGGGAGCCTATAGCCAACTGGACCCGGGCAGAGGCATTCTCATCTCTCCAAACAACACCTCGACCCGCCTGAGGAATTAGGAATGTGAGGCTACACATGAAAGAATTGGAAACAGGCAGAAATGACTGGGTTAAATCAAGTAGGAGGGGTATAAGGGCATCAAAAGAACTCAGCAACCAATTGGAGGTGCTGGAGGTGGCTGGGCTGGAGGATAGTTCTTAATAGGTAGACCTTTAAGTTAAGATAGCTAATAGAGGTAAAAGGATTGCGGATGGGCGTGTTCTGGGCCCAATCAGGATGGGAATGGGTCATGGGACACTCCGGACAGATAGGAGGGGCTGAGTGGCCAAACACACCCTCCTGCAACCTAAAGGCGGGCCAACGAACACCAAAGGGTTGGGTGGGGCCAGAAGCAGCCTACCAATCAGAGCACGCCACCAGCGGACAGGCGGACCTACCAGCGAATGGAAAACAAGGTCTGGGAGGCCAGAATAGGAAAAGAGGCAGGAAGCTGGCGCTAGGCTTGCGTAGCCAATCACCGTCTGCTACCAACAGCAGGCGGGTAGGCCGGCAGTCCTTGTAGGGACTGGGGGGTCTCTGAAGGGGCCTGTGAGGGGTCTTTCAAGGTTGAAGAGGCAGCACCGTCTAAAGAAGGAAGAGTGCGATCCTGAAAACTCGGTGAAGAAAAGCAGATGTTAATTTAGGATCCTCACCTCGGGCCTTGCGCCGACTCTCCTGGTCACCGAGGCTGGGTGGCTTTTCCATGGAGCTCAGGATGGAGCCCAGTAGGTCCGCCATCTTGGGAGTGACAGAGAGGGGGCGGTGCGTCTTAAAGGGAAGGGCGAAATGCCTTTAAGGCCGGAAACACGTCGGAGGTCGAAAATTTCTTACGGGTCCGCCCGGCGCCAATCTGACCCCGGTGCGCATGGCAGCCTTCTGCCAACTGATGCCCAGCCCCCGCCCTGCCCGGGCCCGCCCCCGCCCCGCCCCGCCCCGCCCCGCCCCGCCCCACCGGAGACAGAAGTTGGAGGCTGTCTGGTGCAGCGATGTTTAATGGCAATTTGTAGAAACCAAGCCCATGCACAAGTAGAAAGTGTTCGTGGGGCCGCAGGAGGCCCCAGACGCACCCGGGAGCACCCGGGAACCACAAGCGCGGCCGTGCAGCCCTCCCCGCGACGTCTTAAATAGATTCTTCTTAATTATACTCTGTATGTTACATATTTACAAGCCCCCTCCCATTGGGGCATAGGGCGGGACTCCACAAAGCGTTCCTATATACAGCGCCCCCCTCTCCCATTTGGCCCCAAGGTTGGTGTCCAAGAGTCAGAGTGACACAGAGAGGGGGTAGTGGAGGAGGGGGGAAGATAGGGCCAGAAAGGGAGGAAACAGACGCAAACATGCGGAGTTGGGTAGGGGCACATTCAACCCTGAAACAAGAGGGGCGAGGGCGCAGCGAAGGCAGAGGTGTGGCCAGGCTGATACATTCAGAGATGCCTGGAACAAATAAATAAGGCAAGTCAGGAAAGGGGTGAGGCGGGTGCAGGCAGGGAGGGAGCTGTGGAGAAGGGGCAGGCAGGGCTCCGGAGGTCACAGCTGAATATGCAGGTATGTGGGGTATGGGTCTTGTGAAGCCAGGGACCAAAAGAGAGAGGTCGTGACCTGGAGAGAAGAGGAGGAGCTGGAGAGTGGTGGAGGGAGTTGAACACTTTGGAGGGGCCAGTGGGTAAGAGACCTAGGGAACTCCAAAGTGACGGAGAAAGCTGCCGACAGGGGGCTCTTCCTCCCCCAGAGAGCCCTCTCTCTCCCTTAAGTCTGCAAGAAACGGCTTCCAGGGTGGGGAGAGGTCAGGTGGCCAGTCCAGGTTGGGGAAGCCCTTCCAGCTCCTGGTTCTGCTTCAGTTCCCTCATCCTGCAGAGACATGGAAGAAGTCAGAGGAGACCAGCAGATCCAGGGAGGTAGAGTGATGGAGATGGCAGAGCAAAATCAGCAGAAGAATGAATACCTGTGTCGGCAGCGCCGCAGGAATCTCATGATTTTCCGGGCTGCCTGGTCCTGCTTCTTGGTGAGAAAGGAGCTTCTGGTAAAAACAAAAAAAAAAACATGAGCCTTTACAGACACTCAAGGGTCCCTTTTCCTTAGCCCCTTAGGGACCCTAGCAAGGAAGGGCAGGGGGCAGGATGATGACCTGGGTGTTGGGGTTTCATGGGCAATGGTCATAGATGCAGTGGGCAGGCACAGAGGGCTGGAGGGCTGGACCCATACTTGTTTCGGGCAGGCAGGCTGCCGGTGGGCCTTCTGCGGTAGGAGCGGTAGTGCTGCTGGATGAGCACAGCTGCTCGGCGACTCTGCTGAAACCGCTTCTGCTCATAGTAGCTTCGGAACTTGCTCTGAATCAGGATGGCCGCCTGGGTCATCTTCTTGTAGAGTGCAAACTGTAGGGGTGAGGAGGAGAGACAGACTGAAATGCAGGGACAGAAACCCAAACCCATGAGGGTCATCCCAAGTTCAGCTGATGCAGGTCTCTTTCTCTAATCCACATGCTCATGGAAAGGCTTGAATCATCACAGACAGCCTCACACCCAGATCTCATGCCTAATACCTTAAGTGCAATCCAGGTCAGCTTGTGGAGAGAGAAGGGGAGTCAGGGTTCCAGCAGCATTCTGGATGCTCTGGACTGGAATGGGTGGTTGTAGGTGTGGGTTGGTGGGAGAGAGAAGGGTCTCACCTGCTTGTACTTTCGGTAACAGCGCTGGATAACAGCTGCTGCTACCTCCTGTTGCTCCTTCAGCCACCGGCCCTAAGGGGAAAGAAGGAAGTCTTAGCACCTAAGCATCCACCTAATAGACACATGATCTGTTCTTCCAACTTGCCTGAGGTCCCCTGGCCCTTTACCTCATCTGAGGCCTCTCTGGATGACTGGTCTCCCTCCCAAAGTCCTAGGAACCCACAGTGTCCCCTGACTCAAGATTATGTAATTCATGCCCTGAGATATCCCGGGCTCCTGACCTTGTACTTTCGGAAGGCCGTCTGGATGACTCGGGCTGCCTCATACAGTTCCCGCTGCTCATGATCCGATAATGTGAGCAAGGCAAAATCACTCTCCATCTTGCCACTGGCAGATGCTGAGAGAAACTCTGCCCAAGAAGGTGCTGAAGGGACAGCCAGGCGACCGCGCTCCAAAGGCAGTTCGCTGTAGGGTAGGGAGAAGGCAAGTCACAGGGTATGTGAAGTCCTTTACTCCTGCCTAGGGGTTGCTGTAAAGGGAGACCCCCAGCAACAGAGCCTGTAGAGTGTGATTTCAGAGCTCATCAGCCAGTTCCAATACCCTTAAAGGCCCCCAGCGTCTGCCAGAATGGAACTTTGGCTATGGGGAAGATGTCTTCCCCCTTCCCATCTTCCCTTGAAGAATCTGGAGGCTTTGTCCTAAGCTGGTCACCTGGGAGGGGCAGAGCTGGGGAAATGGTCCACATTCTCCAGGTAGCTGGCCAGCCAGGACATGGTCTCGCTGAGCCCCAGGGCCCCTGTCCGCTCCCGCATTGGAGCTCCAGCCTCAGGCAGTCCCACAAAGCCCTCTCGTTTAATCCGCTCTGGTGTGGCTTCGATGATCTGCTTGGCCAGTGAGATCATGTCCACCTGGATGGAGAAGTTGGGTGAGCCTTGAGGGGTCCCAACTGCCAGATGTTCCTGCCCTGACATCAAGCTGTAGCCTCAGTCCACTTCCTATCTTGTTCTTCCTCTCACCACCAGATGAGGCCTCAGGGATTGCTGTCTTTTCTAACCCTGTCTTTATTGGCCACTGTTCTGGATTCACTCATTTATACTTATTGGGCTTCCACCTGTGTTGAGACATTGTGGAGAACACAGGATAGGAAGGACATACTCCAAATGGAGGTCCAAGAGCTGAGCAAATGAAGGATTTAGCTTTCCAGGCTGACTGCCCACTGTCCTGCCCAGTCCTGGCCATGCACGCCGACCAGCACATCCTGCCCACAGGCTTGGCCTTCAGCTTACTGACCACATGACACCCTATGGCTTCAACCCTGCGGCCTGCAGCACTTCCTGCTTACCACATGTAACAGCCTACCTTGTGGAGGTCTCTTAAGTGTTTTGTACTTACAATGCTACCCAATTAATCTGTTCACTTCCATAAAGCAGATCTGTCCTCAGGCTCTTGCTGATACACTTTTACTCTCTCATTTACTTATTCAACCAGACTTTTTTTAGCTTTTACCATGTGTAAGTCTCCTCACCAAAGGTCATTGCCAGATACCTCCATCTTGCCAACCTCTCTTTTCCACAATCCTCCCAACTTCTCTCTATCACTCTGGTTCCCTAAGAAGCTTGTCTCTTCACGGATTAACAGGTAACCCCTACAGTCCAGCTCTAATTGAAGATATTCCCCAGAATTCTTAACCTCTGATGCCTCATGATTTTTGAGTCAAGCTCTGATAGGAGCTGAACAAAGGATTATCTTGTTTGTCCAAAAATGAGGGTAAATGACCCCTTCTTCCCAAACTAATGTAAGACTCTATTTCATGGACTAGTTGGCCTCACCCCACCCCTGCACCCCACTCTTTCTAGTCCTCATAATTCCATCAACATAAGTGGTACCGGGATTACATCCACAGCCGGTGGGCTGTAAACTTCCTCTGGAGCAGCCCCAGCATCCGGAGCTGGTGGGAGAGGAGGTGGTGAGGGTGGGGGCCCTTTGGGGTTGGTGGCTTCATAGTCCATGAGGAATAGGGGGGCCTCCGGGGCACCAGCGGAGAGTTGGCCTGGGACCATCTCCATAATAATCTCAGAGGCTGGCAGAGAGGCTGGGGGAGGACTCCCATCTGGGGCACTTGAATAGGCTGAAGTGACAGAGAAAGTGCCATCCGACAGCTCCGAGGGCGAGGAGACACTGCTCAGACCTGTAAGAGAAGAGGATGAGGGCAGCAGGAGCCATCTGCCATCCCTTGAGTCACCGACCTGCCCCATCTCTGCTCTCAGTCTCTCAGTCCTTGCTAGTATTATCTTCCCATCCCAGCCTCCTCTTCGGTTCCCTCCTCCTCCTCTCACACTTCCTGTCTCCCAATCTTCAGTTTCCCCCCTGGCCTATCCTTCCACTCACATCCCCCTCTTAAAAAGATTAGGGGCAACCCTCACCAGTGTCTGGGCTGGAGGAGGGGGGCGACTGGGCAAGTGGGGGCTCAGCTGAAGCTTCCTGTCTCTGCAGCTCCTCTAGGCAGCGGGCAAGGCGCACATGACCCCGGGAATGAGCCACAGACAGGGGGAGACGGCCCAGCGAGTCAGGAATGCTCAGCGCCTGTCGGTTCCAACGGAAAAGGAGCACAGCAGCTTCCAGGTGTCCTAGGGCACAAGCCCACATCTAAGGAGAGGGGCAGGGAAAGGACAGGAGGAATAGGGGGACAGAGGAGGAGGTGAGGCCTGAGGCCCTTTCTCCGGGTGGCTACATCGTCAGTCCCTTGCCCTCCCCACTCCCTTTGAAGCACCCATTTCCCGTTGGCCCACATTCACTCAGGAATCCAGCATCCTCACCAGGGGGGTGCAAGAGAAATGATCCACGTTGAGCGGGTCAACCTCTTGTTCTAAGTCCAAGCTTCCAGTCTCCACACTTCTGGAGGGTTTGGGAAAGGAACATTAAAGCCAAGTCAGGGAAAAAGTGGGAGCATCGGAACTGAAGGGACAGGGAAACAAGCTGTCTGGAAGCACTACAGTCAGTGGGATGAGGCAGTCAGAGGTGAATAAATGTAAGGAGGCCAAGAGTCAGTGTTGTAACTCAGGATACTACAGTTCCCCCCACTACAAATCTTCCAGCCCCTCTTCCTTCCCAATGACCCCAACTCCCTCTTGGAAGGGCTCTAGTCCCCCTCAGTCCCCTAGTACTTCTGTCCCAGTGGCTGCCCAGCCCCCTCCCTGCTGCCCCTGC